CAGTCGAAGAGGAAGTTGAAAAAGAAGGAATGAGATCCCAACCTCAAACCTTTTCAACGAAAGAATCTAATGAACAACCCTCAACTGTGGTGATACATCCTTTAGTCCTTAATCAATTTACAAGATCCAATGAAGAGGAGGAGGAGCGAGAAATTCTGAAAATGTTTCACAAATTTGATAAGCCGAATTGCAATGAGAAAATTTGTACGGAGGAAAATGCTTCAGCCGTACTACAACAGAAATTACCTCCTAAGTGTGAGGATTTAAAAGTTTTTGAGGTGGATGGCTTGGATAAGATAGGAGTTGCAATGATCAAACATCTTGAACCGAGAAACAAAATAGCTCGTTTGCTTAAGAATTATTGGCACGAGAATGATGTAATGAAACGAGCTAAAAGATTTTATCCCCCTTGATTGAGCACTGGTACTGTCTAGCCAAAAACGTTAAAGAAAGGCGCTACTTAGGAGGCAACCCAAGAGTTTCAATTTATAGTCATTTTTTTCATTTTTTTATTTCATGATTTTATGTGAAAGTTAAGTTTATTTCATTTCTTATTGACAAAAGGTCTTTTGTTGTAGGCCGTGGACGCACTCATGAAAGTTTCACTTTGATTAGGTGAAAATTCCTTAGACAGAAGACTTTCTGTTATAAGACGTGCCCACGCTTTATGTCCAGAGGGCATTATTCGTTTTAGGTTGGATTGGACTAACAACTATCTGTTACAAGACGTGCCCACGCTCTATATCCAGATGGCATTGTTTGTTTTACGATTGGATGGACAGAAGACTATTTCTTATACAGTGTGCCCACACCTTACAACAAAACCTCCAATATTGCGATCCCAAGTTGAACTTCACTATGTGCTTCACCTACATTGATTTTTAAGCAACTTATTCCCTCCCGGGTGTTCAGTTCAATAATCAGGGAAGTCCTATTTTCTTCTTTTTGCACTTAAGTTTCATCCATTGAAGACAATGTCGGATTTAGGTGTGGGGGAGGGGATCTTTCAAGTGAAAATAAATGAAAATTTTTCATAAAAATTTTTCAAATTTAGTTTTGGAGCTTCTATTTTGTTTTACGAAAAGCAATCAAGATGCAAATATGAATAGTGTAATGTTACTAGCATGAGTATGTTATTTTCTTGCAATTGATTTGAATGATGGATATGCTAGATTTGACATAATTTTAACCACTTTGTGAGCTTTTGGGCTTTATGAGCAATTTAATATATTTTGCTCTATTTTCTTTTGTTGAGTGATATCACACATGATTTGACATTCTAGAACTTGGTTTGTTATACAAGTTGAGACTATGCTTGAATTTGATGCATTAAAAAGATAAGGGCAATTAGGCTTAACCATTTTTTACTTTCTAATTGCCTTCCCTAATTATGTTCACCCATAGTTAACCCTGTTTGAGCCTCAATCTTTTTCTTTGTTTAATAGCCAAATTTGTTACCTTAAACCTTTTTGTTTAGACCTTCTCATTGGAATCTTGTGTCAAAGGAATACCATAATATTTTTGCATGAAAACTTCAAGTGTATTTCAAAAGTACGTTTATGGTTGGCAAGTGTGGTAGTTATGTTGTGCATTTTTAAAAAAAGAGAGAGAAATGAAAAAAATACAAAAAAATATTGAAAAAAGAAGAAAAAAAATTTTTGTTGTGAAGTGCACTTGTGTTGTTTTGTGGTAGTTGGGCTAATGCCTAAATTACGTTTGCACTTGCCAAATTTAGTGAAGTTATTGACACTCCTGAAAGCCAGCTATACATGTGAATGACAAAGGAGTTTGATTTCATGCAGAGTATTATTGATATTTCCTTTGATATATTTACACCTAAAATTTTTCCTTTTATCCAACGCTTAACCCAAGCCCCGTTACAACTAGGGGTGTAATCGAGTCGAGTCGAGCTCGAGTATTGCTATACTCGAGCTCGACTCGACTCATATACACCAAAGCTCGAGCTCGACTCGAGCTCGAGCGAGCCCAAAAAATCGATACTCGAGACTCGACTCGAAAAATTTCCTTTAGGCTCGAGGCTCGAAAATTTTTTTCATTTTAGGTCTTTTTACAATTATGTTATTACTTTTTTGCCATTATAGGATTTTATTATAAAGAAGGATATATTGTAAATTTCATATAACTTATACCCATAATGGTCATTTTATAATTATAATACATAAATATTATTTAAATTATAAATATATTATTTAAATAACTCCGGCTCGTCGAGCTACTCGACTCGACTCGAGCTGGGCTATTTCGACTCGAAACTCGACTCGATTTTCATTCGAGCTACTCAAAACTCGGCTCGAACTCGGTCAACCCGAGTTCGTGCCTAGTCGTTGACCGAGCTACTAGCGAGCACGAGTAGCTCGGCTCGCGTACATCCCTAGTTACAACCCTTATAAGGACCCTTTGATTTTTGCATCGAATTCATTGTAAGTGGTGGAAATATGATATATTAGCAAGCTTATGGTAATGTCATTTCATGGAGTTGATTTGAGTGCTAAATATTCCTTAAACACTAAAGTGCAGAGTGTATACACTATTATCCGTGTGAGGGCTGTTGAAAATTGTGCATCTTGATTTTGATAAAATTATTGAGAAGACATGGCACTTGTGTTAGTATGCACTGTGCTATTAAATATTTGTCATCTTGACTATGATTCTTGGGTAGTGAATGCTTGAGGGCAAGCATTATTTAGGTATAGGAGAATTTGTTAAGTGACTAATTGTGCATATAATTGGTGAATATTTTCCCTTTTATTTTGCTAAAATATGGTGTTAATCGATGAATTTTACTCATATTTGATTTTTGGTGTTGTTTTTACAAATTGTTGGTGAGAATGGAGTAAAAGGTGTATTAAAAGTCGAATTTCTAGAAGACAACACTTTATAAGGCGTGACCACGTCTTCACTTGATGAGAAATCCATGCTTACGAGAGTTGAAGTGGGCCACCATTTGAATCTTTGCTAGCATATTGGAAGTCCATGGATATCTTTAGAAATAGACAATCTATTGTTTCTATCTAGTAGTGTGAGTTGAACAGGAGTCTTAATCCTTTCCTTATTGGAAGTTGGAAGAAGCATAAGTGAAAAAGGAAGTCTTTTCCTTTTAGGAGACATTTTCCTTAGTCCATTGCGACTAAACTAGTCTCGTAGAAGTATAAGAAGGATAAAAGCCTTTGGCCAAGAGCTCTGATTCTTTTCCCTCTTTTTCTCTATAATAAACCCTAGTATTTCTTGTGGCCGCGAATCTACCGGGATGAGCGGCTAGTTTCTTTTCTAGTTAAAGAATAATTGAAACTTTGGTTTGACAATACTGTGAGATCTAATTTGATTTGTTTGCTTCATTATTTATGAATATTTATATATTCTCTGTTCATTCATGACTATGATTATTTGCTACAGTAAAATACCTGATCAATATTTAATTGTCGAAATAGTCTAGTGCCATCTAAAATATCAAATTCGTAATTGTTTGATGGTTTTAGTATCTGTGGCGCGTGATGTAATTTGATTGTAAAAAAGACTTTTGAATCTATATCACGGGAATATATAATCTAACTTAAATAAAACAAGCTTGTGTGTTTGTTGGTTAGAATTGGTAGCTTCTCTAATTATTAATGCTGTCAATAGGTTAAATCCTAAGAGATTGTTTAGAGTTGCTTAATTGGTAAGAGAAATAGCCACAGAGTATGTTGTGATTATCGAAACAGTAAGGAGAGGCAGGTTGTCAGAACGTGTTGACAACCATAACCAGTTTATTTATAAATAAGTGATTTCACCTTTGCATCAATGATCAGTTAAATGAACCAAAGTGGAAATTAGACCTTCGACTAGAGTGTTGCCTATTCTTGGTTTAGTTTTATTTAATTTTGTGATACTGTCTTTATTTTTATTCAATTGAGCTATTTAGTTAATTTCTCCTAATCCCCCATTTTTCACAATACGATCCTACTCACCGCTATACTTGAATTCATATTTTTAGAGTAGGAACTTTTGTTTTTGCTGGTTTGACAAGCCAACAGTTATAACCTATTTATTAGTAAATAGTTGGAATTACCTTTGCATTGATGATCAATTAGATGAACCATTACTGAAATTATTTCTTGGCTAGATCTTTAGTTATTATTAATCTGATTTTAGTAGATTGTCGTTTAATTTTTAGTTAGCTATTTGATTTTAGTGAACTGCTTTAATTGTCAGCTTTTATACAAAAACACCCCCTTGTTACTTTGAATTGCAAAAGAAACAAATATCCCCAATCCCTGTGAATTCGACCCTGCTTATCACTGTCTATTGAAATTAACTTTAGTTTGAGTAGGTTTTTATTAGTGCACAGACTTGACAACCTATCAATTTTTTACGCCGTTGCCGGGGACTGGCAACAGTTATTTGTCTCTTTTTAAGTTTATTTTTGTTCTAATTTTTTGGTACTTTTCGAGTGTATGCCTTGTTCTTCTCGTACAAGTGAATTAATTTTCGACCCCGAGACTGCGCGTAGAACAAGGAAAGAGACCAGACAACTCAGAGAAGAGTACTCAAGTGCCGCATCTCAAAGACCTGAGTCAGAAGTTAAACCAACAGATTCGCTCGGTGATACTTCGAGTGACTCAGAGCGAGAAGAAGTCACTATAAATAATGCATGAATATTAAGAGAGTTGGCTGCTCCTGATTTAAATCAACAGCCCTTATGCATTACCTTTTCACATTTATATGATAACACTCCATTTGAGTTAAAATCTGGTCTAATTCATGTGTTGCCATTTTTCTATGGTTTATCAGGAGAGGAGCCTTACAAGCATTTGCAAGAGTTTGATGTCGTTTCCAACAGTATGAAACCGGTGAGAATTATGGAAGAACAGATCAAAATGAGGGCATTCCTCTTCTCTCTGAAGGATTGGTTGTACTACCTACTACCGGGTAGCATCACCACTTGGGACCAGCTGAAGGAAAAGTTCTTAGACAAATATTTTTCTACGTCACGAGCTGCAAGTTTAAGGAAGGAGATCTGCGGTATCAAGTAGCACCCAAGAGAGTCGCTCTGTGATTATTGGGAGCGATTCAAGAAGTTATGCATCAAATGCACTCAACACTAAATAAGTGAGCAATTGCTTATCCAATATTTTTATGAGGGGCTACTTTTTAGAGACAGGAGCATAATTGATACTGTAAGTGGAGGGGCACTAGTGAACAAGACCCCTCGAGAAGCATGGGGGCTCATTGAAGGAATGGCCGAGAATTCGCAGCAGTTTGGTACGAGGGAAGATGTCCTGATATGCAAAGTGAATGAGGTAGAGATATCTTCTATCCAGCAGCAGTTGACTAAGTTAATATCTTTTGTTAGGCAACTAGCTGTAGGAAATACATCACAAGTCAAGGTGTATGGAATTTGTACTGCTATGGGTCATTCTACAGAGATGTACCTGATGATTTAAGAAGAAAGTGTGGAGCAAGTGAACATGATTGGGCACGCGTCCGCGCTCGCTCCAAGAAATCAATATGACCCGTATTCGAATATGTACAATCCAGGTTGGAGAGGTCACCCCAACTTCAACTATGGAGGAAGTAGGCAGTCAAATTTTGCACCAAATAGACAGCAAGGGTACCAACAACAATATCAACCTCGGCCGCCACCACCCCCTTCAAACTCAAGTCCGTCTATAGAGAAGATGATGAAGCAATTAATTGCTAATCAACAAAAGATAGATTCTGACCTACAAAGTATGAGAAATCAACTGGGACAGATGCAAGTCGTGCAGGGTCAGATGAGTCAGATGGCGATAGCAATTAACCGCCTAGAATCCCAAGTCCAAGGAAAACTATCGTTTCAACCTGAATTGAACCCGAAGAACATAAGTGCGATGACTTTAAGGAGCGGGAAGGAAATTCAGGGACCCGAACTCACTACTCCAAAGGACAAAGATGAGGAAAAAATCGAGAATGAGCTTGAGAAAAAGGGCAGCAAGGACAAAAATCCAGTGGTACTCCCTGACCCGATCGTTGAGGTTAAAACTTATCCGCCTCCCTTTCCTAGCAGGTTGGAGAAATCGAAGAAGTAGGATAAGGAAAAAGAGATATTGAAAATGTTTCGCAAGGTAGAGATCAATATTCCCCTATTAGATGCAATCAAATAAGTGCCGAAATATGTAAAATTTTTGAGGGACTTGTGCGTCAACCGAGGGAGGCTGTGGGGAGATGAAAGGGTCATTGTGGGGAAGAATGTGTCAGCAGTTCTTCAGAGAAAATTTCCACCGAAGTGCGGGTATCCAGGTATGTTTACTATTCCCTGTAGGATAGGTAACACCTTGATTGGAAAGACTATGTTAGACCTAAGAACCTCAATTCATGTCATGCCAAAGTCCATATATCCTTCTTTGAATTTAGGCCCTTTAAAGGAAATTGAGATAATAATTCAATTAGCTGATCGAACCAATGCATACACTGACGGGTTGATTGAAGATGTTTTGTTGAAAATTAATCAATTGATTTTTCCAACTGATTTTTATGTACTTGATATAGATGATGAATACTCTCACGACCCATTACCCTTATCATTAGGTAGAACCTTTTTGAGAACGGCACAAACTAAAATAGATGTTAACAAGGGCACCTTATCCATGGAGTTTGACGGAAATATTGTTCATTTCAATATCTTTGATATTATGAAATATCCCTCGAACTCTAACTTTAACTCTATTTTTTCTGTGAGTGTTATTAACCCTGCGGTGCAGGAAGTGTTTGAAATTGTTGGCAGGGATGAGTTGGAGGTTGATTTAACCAGGCACCTCGAGTTGGAGACAACTCCTGAAATAGAATGGAGTGAAGATTTGAAATGCACAATAGGGGTGTTACACTCGTTGCCAATCACGACGAGAAGGTATGAAGTCTCACCTATTTCATTCCCGATCCTCACCAAAGGGTACTACCATCTGTGGTACAGGTACCTGTGTTAGAACTGAAGCCTCTGCCAAAGCACCTAAAATACGCATATCTGGGCGAAAAGGAAATGCTCCCAGTGATTATCTTAGCGGGACTATCAGAAAGCCAGGAGGAGAAACTAATCCGAGTCCTTAGAGAACATAAGGAGGCGATAGGATGGACCATCACTGACATTAAGGGGATCAGCTCCTTCATCTGTATGCATCGAATAAGGTTGGAAGAGAATGCCAAACATGTACAGTAAACTCAAAGGAGGCTCAATCCTCTCATGATGGAAGTGGTGAAGGAGACAGCCCATGGGTGAGCCCAGTGCAGGTAGTCCCGAAGAAAGTAGGAATGATTGTGAAGGCCAACAAAATGGGCGAACTCGTGCCAGTGCGCAAACCCACAGGATGGAGGCAGTGTATAGACTACCGTAGATTGAACGCTGTCATGAAAATGGACCATTTTTCTCTTCCTTTCATTGGCCAAATGATTGATCGTTTAGCTTGTTGAGTTTATTATTATTTTTTGGATGAATTTTCAGACTATTTTCAGATTACAATCGCACCGAAGAATCAAGAGAAGACGACCTTCACGTGCTCGTTCGGAACCTTTGCATACAGACGCATGCCCTTTGGATTGTACAATGCACTTGCAACATTCCAGAGATATATGGTAAGCATCATTTCAGAATATGTTGAAAAAATTATTGAGATTTTCATGGACGATTTCAGTGTATATGGTAATAGTTTCGATACTTGTTTAGATAACTTGAAATTGATCTTGTCAAGATGTATACAGACTAATCTCGTGCTCAACTAAAAAAAATATCATTTTATGATTGAACATGAGATAGTTTTGGGTCATATAGTATCCTTTAAGGGTATTGAAGTTGACAGGGCTAAAATAGACATTATGTCTGCCTTACCTTACCCAGCGAGTGTGCGGTAAGTGCGCTCTTCTTTTGGACATATAGGTTTTTATCGAAGGTTCATCAAGGATTTTTTGAAAATTGAAGCCTCTTTTTTTCAGCTTTTACAAAAAGATGTGGCTTTCGAATTCGATGACAAGTGTGAGAGAGCTTTCGACAAGTTAAAAGAGCTATTGATCTCACCACCGATTATCCAACCCCCTGACTGGAGTCTACCCTTTGAGATCATGTGCGACGCTAGTGATTATGCAGTGGAGGCTGTGTTGGGGCAGAGAGTGGGAAAGGCAGATCACGTCATTTACTATGCGTCTCGAGCTTTGAATAGAGTTCAAATGAACCACTCCACTACTGAAAAGGAGCTTCTTATGGTTATCTTTGCTTTAGAAAAGTTTAGGTCATATTTGTTAGGTATTAAAGTTATTGTATTTTCTGATCATGCAGCGTTGCAGTACCTAATGATCAAGAAAAATGTAAAACCGAGGTTTGTAAGGTGGATACTGCTCCTGCAAGAATTCAATCTGGAGATAAAGGACAAAAGAGGCTTGGAGAATTTAGTAACTGACCACTTAAGTCGCATATAAGTTGGAGAGGAGAACATGCCATTGAGAGACACATTCCCCGATAAACACTTATTCTCTTTGAATTCTCAATTGTCTTGATATGCTAATTTAGTCAATTATCTAGTAACGGATAATTTCCCTGCAGGTTGGCCAAAATCGAAGAGGGACAAGTTGAAAAGTGATGCCAAATACTTTATATGGGATGACCCATACTTGTGGAAGAGATGTGCTGACTAAGTGATGAGAAGATGCGTAAGTGAAATTGAATTTCAGTTAATTTTAACTTTCTGTCATACTTTTGCCTGTGGAGGTTATTTTGGACCTAAGCAAACTGCGCATAAGATATTAGAGAATGGATTTTATTGGCCTTCATTGTTTAAGGATGCATATGTGTTTTGTAAATCCTGTGATCGATGTCAAAGGGTAGGTAACATAGCCCGTAGAGATCCTATGCCTCAAGTCCCGTTGATTTTCGTAAAAATTTTTTATATTTGGAGCATAAATTTTATGGGATCTTCTCCTACCTCATTTGGTTTTATATACATATTGTTGGTAGTCGATTATGTTTCCAAATAGGTGGAAGTTAAGGCTACCCAGACTAATGATTCGAAAATGGTTACAGATTTTATCAGGTCTAATATTTTTGTGCATTTTGGGATGCCAAGAGCTATTGTTAGTGACAGGGGGACACACTTCTACAATAAGACCATAGTTGCGTTGTTCTGACGGTATGGTGTACTCGACAAGGTCTCAACATCATACCACTCTCAAACCAATGGTCAAGCGGAGGTATCGAATCGGAAAATCAAGTCCATCCTGAAGAAAATGGTACGATCCGATAGGAAAGAGTGGAGTCAACGGTTGGAAGATGCGCTTTGGGCTTATCGGATTGCATATAAGACCCCTATCAGCATATCACCCTACAGGTTGGTATTCGGGAAGCTGTGTCACCTTCTAGTGGAATTTGAGCACAAGGGTTTTTGGTTTTTGGGCAATAAGGCAGTGTAACATGAATCTAGAGGATGCCGGTGCCCATCGGAAGTTGAATTTGCAAGAATTGGAGGAGATCCGAAACGAAGCATACGAGAATGCACTAATTTATAAGGAGAGGAGTAGGGCGTTCCATGACCAACAAATCTCCAAGAAGACCTTTGTAGTTGGTCAGGAAGTTCTACTATACCAATCCCGGCTTAAGCTCTTCCCAGGTAAGTTACGTTCCCGTTGGATTGGCCCTTTTATTGTCACTCATGTCTTTCCCTATGGTGCAGTAGAAATCCAGAGCGCTAAGACAAACAATAAGTTTGTGGTGAATGGACACCGTCTCAAACATTATTACGAGGGTTTTCCAAGTGGAGAAGTGGAGACGATACGTCTAGATGTACTGACTTGTCCCAATTAATGACACCTAGCCATGTCTAGCCAAAGACATTAAAGAAATGCGCTTGTTGGGAGGCAATCCAATGTTATTTAGTTATTTGTTCAGTTTTGTTTGATAGCTTAAATATGTTTTCATAGAGTTTGACGGACTTCTGGTTTAAATTTTCATTTTTGGCGTTAAGAAGGTAACTCTCTGACATGACACGTCCGTGTCAACTGGGCGTGTAGCAATGTGCGATTTCCTGGTGCTTGGTCAGAAGGGTTTCAACCCTCATGACGTGCCCGTGTCGAGTCACCTGGAGAACTCATCCTTCGATCCATAAGGGTTTTCTCCCTCATGACGTGGCCACGTCAACAAGGCGCGAGACAACTTTCAAATCCTAACCCCTTCGTCAGAAAGGTTCTCACCTTCTTGACGCGCCCACGGCATGCTCGCAGGAGAGGTAAGCATTCAAAATCTCGAAAGAATTTGGATTTTCTTTTCATCTCAAATTTTGAATTTTGAAAATCAATTTTGCTAATTACGAAAAATTTTTCTCCATTTAACTCTAAACTTTGATTTCAAAATTTTAAGAGTTAAAATTCGGAAAGAAACGAAAAAAAAAAACCAAAACTCTTTTATTTTTTCTTTTTCTTTTGGGTTAATCACATTTTATCCCCTTAAATAATACCCCATTTCTCAGTTTACCCGCTAACCTTTAATTTTACTCACTTAACGCCCTTTAGGATAAAATTCACCTTGCATTATTTTAACTTTTCATTTACCTTGTTTTTCTTTCTTTTTTTCTTTCTTTTTTATTTAATTCTTCCTCTTTTCTACAAACATTTTCACTTAATGATTGAAATTAAAAAAGAGGAATTGTAGAGATCTGCAGAGATCTATCTTCTCCTTAAATGATTAAAAAAATATTCAAATCACTTTCCTAAAATACAATTTTTTTAGTATTTCAATTCTTTTAATTTTGAGTTTTCCTCTTTCTTTTCTAGTTTCTCATTTTATTCCCAAGAAAATATCTTAAGATGAAATTGTGACCTGATTAATAATCATCAATTGAAATTTGTGACACGTGGCATCATACAAAAAATTAAAATTAGTTTTTGATGCCTTTTAAAGCTTCACCTAAAAATATGCAATTACAAACTAAAAAAAAATTCATTGAAATGAAATTTCTATTGGGAAGGATGAAAGAGAGAAGAAAGAGAAAAAGAAATAAAAGAAAGGAAAACAATTTCATCTTATGATATTTTCTTGAGAATAAAATGAGAAACTAGAAAGGAAAGAGGAAAATTCAAAATTAAAAGAATTAAAAGGCTAAAAAAATTGTATTTTAGGAAAGTGATTTGAATATATTTTTAAACATTTAAAGAAAAGATAGATCTCTGCAATTTCTCTTTTTTAATTTCAATCATTAAGGTGAAAATTTTTATGGGAAAGAAGAAGAATTAAATAAAGAAAAAAGAGAAAAAGAATAAAAGAAAGGAAAATAAGGTAAATGAAAAGTCAAAATAAGGCAAGGGCAATTTTGTCCTAAAGGGGATTAAATGAGCAAAATTAAAGGTTAGGGAGTAAACTGAGAAATTAGGTATTTTTTAAGGGGATAAAATGTGATTAACCCTTTTCTTTTTTCTTTTCCCTTTCATTCTTTCTTCCCCATCCGTTTCTTCCTCTTTTCTTTCCTGCCTCTCCCGCTGTTTCTCCTTCACTGTCGATCGAAAGCCCTTTGCCAGCCGCCGCCTCCTCCTTTCGCAGCGTTGTGCACTGCCAGCGACGCCACCCACGAGCCGTGCGCCTTGTCTCCCTCGCTCTTCACCTGCGACATCCACTGCCCACAACAGGCCGCCGTCGATCTCGCCATCACGTGCCGCGAGCATCAACCGCCTCTGAGCCGCCGTCGCTGTTCGTGTCGCACCTACGCGCGTCGCCCCTTGCTCTCTCTCTCTCTCTCCTAGCTTTTCGCTCTCTCTCCTCGATCCATCACTGCAGCTCTCTGCAATCGACGAACAACGCCGCCGTATGCCACTGTCAGTAGCCGCGCAGCGTCACCCCCTTAGCGACTTCCCCGTCGCATGAGCCATCCTTCTCGCCTCTGCTGTCCACGTCGACGCCGAACCAGCTAGACACGCCGCCATCTTATTTGGTCCCGTCCACAGCTAGTTCATCGCACACCGCCCTGGCCGTCGTCACGGTGTAGGTATTCCCCCACTTCGCCCCTTTACTGAGCTTTTGAAATTTCAAGTGCGTGAGCCACTTTTGGGAATCAACTGTGATCCAATTTCCTGCTTTAATTATTGCATAACTTGGAGTGATTTGTTGGGAGTTATTTGGGCATTGACTGCATGAGACTTCTATTGCAACTTTAGTTGCGCAATTTCTGGGTTGTTTATTGAATTGGGAGGGGACTGTGATCCTTGCATTGCTTATTGAAGTTGGTTGAATCATATTGAATTGTTGGGGGTGTTCTGTCTTGATTTCACTTGCCTTACGTATTGGCTTCAATTGATTTCAATTGCTGAGTTTGTTGGAGCATTTGCTGCGATCTTGGGATTGTTTAGACTCTACTGTTGACTGATAAATTGGAAGACATTGGTAGCAATTGCTCTGCTCTGATATTGTTCTGTTGTTGGCACATTCTATATCTTGTAATTGGATCAACATTTGGCGGCTATCTCTTTGCTATTGCTCAGTATCTACCGGTGTTTTGTGTATTGGATATTTGATTTCTTGTCGATTTGAGTTGACTGTTAGAGGACATTGTGACGCCAAAATCATCTTCTAGGTCTAAAGCCTCTCAACCTCAGCCTCCACCCTAACCCACCATTCCAGTGAATGCACCTACCAACCAACCAACCTTCCTCTTCCGATGTCTGAACACGTTTAGGTAGGGGTAGGGGTGCTCATGTGGTTGCCCCCGCTCATTTCGGGGGGCATTTAAACTTCACTAGACTCACCAATCAGTAGAGATACGCTAAAATTTGTGAGCGGCGTATCGTCCCGTGTAAATGCTCTGACGAGATGACCATAGGTGTTTTGGGTATCCAAGAGGAGGTTGAGCGCATGTTTACCGTCATTGGATGGCGTTCTTACCTTAATATCTTCCGTCCCGCCTTTGTTGAGTTGACTAGGGAGTTTTACTCCACTTTTGAGTTCGAATTGCCCTCGAGGCATACTGTTGATACTCCCAATGTCATCCACTTTTGTGACGCCCCCACTTCTTCCAGGGGCGAATCCAAGGGTATCAGCGGGATGCCTGCCCAATTCTCGCTGAGACTCACTACAATCCGTAATTTAAAAGCTAGAAATACTTCAATTATTTTCAATTTCTAATTAAAGCACTCCAAAATATTTCATACTTACAATTAGTTAACTTTCAAACTTAAATACAATCCAAAAGAATAGGTACCACAGCCATCCGCTATAATACAACTTAGGATCTTCAAAAGAAAACAATTTAGTACTATTCACGAGCACTCTCGGTCTTAAGTCCTGTTAAGGAAAACAAAAACGTGGAATCAGCTAAACTACCCAGTGAGGTTCCAAGACACTCTTGCAGTTCTAATAAATCAAGTAATTTGAACATAACACATGCATGGTTCAAGATTGCACATTGGCACATTAATATGAAACAGTTATCATTATACAGAAATAAACACATATTGAAAGATACGGTGTTCCAGTGGAACCATTTCGATCAATTTCACCTTATATCTTCAGATCCCCTCGGTCTGTCTGGCCATCACGTTATCCTTCCAGTGGTAATACTTGAATGTACCGAAATGGTAGCCCAGGGTCCCAACCTACCCGACCAAGTCCAATCCTGCCTCGAGCAAGTTAGTAATCAAGGGCAGGACCCAGTTCAACTTAGAGTTTACAACATGCACAAGTAATCAAATAAATCGGTAAATCGATAAATTGGTTGAATGGTAGAAATTTGTCGTTTTAGTAGGTCGAGTGAGATAAAGTACACACTCGCCTTAAAATAGTGGCAATTTCATAAGAGCAATTATAGGTAACACTTAACACTTAAACACATAAGAAATATGCCGTAATTTCATATGAAAACGGAATTTACGGTAATCAAGTAAATCGGTAAACGATAGATCGGTTGAATGGTAAATCGATAATCGATAAATCGGTAAATCGGTTGGACGGTAGATATTTGTCATTTTAGTAGGTCGAGTGAGATAAAGTACACACTCGCCTTAAAATGGTGGAAAAGTTCATAGGAGCAATTATCGGTAGCACTTAACAGTTAAACACAGAATGACCATGGAGAAAACATGTCGTAAAACTATTCAAGTCACGTACTTCTATATGGAACACTCACCAATTCAAAACAAGTAAATAAGTGCTCAAATAAGTGTTTAGGCATCAGTTTCGAGTTCCTCTTGTAGGCCCCCTTGAGCGCCTGAGTAAATAATAATTAACTTCACTCGCAATCATGCATTTACCAAGAAAGGATGCACACTCATTTAGACTAAATCACAGTCTTAAAAGGGAGCTTTAATTCTCTCAACTCGAGATTCAAGAGTGAAGCTTTAAAGTCCGAAGAGAGACTAGCATCTTCCATAAAATCGAGTTCAAAACGTTCAATCGATATCGAAAAAAGAAGTCAAGTTCCTGAAATTGCATTTTCTAAGTAATCGGCAAATTTCAGCTTTGCATGACAATCTTTGGAAAATCAAATCTAGAGTTTGGCATGTCCAAAAATAGAAAAATTTATACCATTGGAATTTTGGTTTGAAATGCTAAAAGTTCCTAGAAGATATTTTTCAAAGATTATAAACGGAAGATGCTCAAATTTCAGCTTAAAGTTGCTGACTTAGACACACAAGACAGTTTCAGTCTTGTTTTTTGGCAAACTTTGAAAATTTGGCAAAATTCACAAAAAGTGAACTAGCCTCTAAAATTCACAACACAATAAGAATTCAAATCAAGGTTTCAAACACAACAAACGAAACTAAAATCGGAGTTTTGAGCGGCAAGATATAGCAGCTCATAATTAGCTAAAATTGAGGACTGAT